CTCTACAACAAGAGAAGCCACGACAATGAGAAGCCCGTGCACCTCAATGAAGAGTAGATGCCGCTCGCCACAACTAGAGAAAGCCCGCGCATAGCAACAAAGACCCAATACAGCCAAAATAAAAACAAACAAACAAATAAATTTATTTTAAAAAAATTCTAGTATTTGCGTTCCACTTATATGAGGTACCCAGAGTAGTCAAATTCATAGAGACATAAAGTAGAATAATGGTTGCCAAAGGCTCGGAGGCAGGGAGGAATGGGGAGTTACTGATTAATGGGTGCAGAATTTCAGTTCAGAAAGATGAAACTTCTCTCTCCTTACTTCAAAGATACCATGACAGAGGGCTGTTTTTGGTTTTTTTTTGTGTGTGTGGTACGCGGGCCTCTCACTGCTGTGGCCTCTCCCGTTGCGGAGCACAGGCTCCGGACGCGCAGGCTCAGCGGCCCTGGCTCACGGGCCCAGCCGCTCCGCGGCATGTGGGATCTTCCCGAACCGGGGCACGAACCCGTGTCCCCTGCATCGGCAGGTGGACTCTCAACCACTGCGCCACCAGGGGAGCCCGACAGAGGGTTTTTACAGGAGGATATACCAGCCCTTTCAAAGAGCAGACAGACCCTATTTATTGTAAAAACTGTTTCAATGAATAGAAGAAAAAACCCTCATTTTATGAAGCTATTATAACCTTGACACCAAAAAGGAAAAGGACAGGGCAAGAAAAGCAAAATGATCACAATCTATCTCACTCATGAGTACAGATGGAAAAATCTTAAATAAAACATAAGAATTGGAAAGCAAACAAGATACGAATTTGTCCTTATTTGCAGACAAGAGGATTTCTACAAAGAATATCTAAGAGAACCGATATGCAGTTAGAACTAATAGAAGAGTGTAGCAGGGATGCTCAATATAAGGTCAATATGCAAAAATCAGTGGCATTCTTGTACACCAGCAATAACCAAATGAAAAGTGTAATACAAAAAAGACCTCATTTACAATTGCAACAAAAACTGTACGGTACCTATGAACAAATGAATGAATACGTACATAAATAAAGAAACTAAAAGATACTAAAACTCAGTATTACAAAGATAGCAATTTCTCCCAGATTCACTTAAAACCTAAAACAATTTCAATAAAAATCCAGTGTTTTTCATGGATAAATTATTCTAAAATTCATATAGAAAAGTGCCAAGATGGTTAAAATAATTTTGAAGAAGAATAAGGTAGAGGAAATGTGGAATTGTTACAAGGTTATACAAACAGACCAATGCACAAAAGAGAGATCCTAAAAATGGAACTTGCATATTATAGCCGTTGCATTACAGTTCAGATGGGCTATTTGATAAATGATGCAAAAAGCATACTGCTTATTCATATGAAAAAATAAAATTATGTTACTCATAACACACATAAAAATAAATTTCAAGGGATTAGAGCTATGAATCAAAACATCAAATTTTAAAAACCGCTAGAAAAAATATGGCAGACCATTTTTATGACTTTGAGAAGCAGGGAAGGATTTCTTAAAACACAAAAAGCAAAGAAAACACAAAGTGAAAAGACAAGGTACAGAGCAGAATAAGATACCTGCAACGCAAACAACTGACAAAGAATTAAAACAACAACAACAAAAGGCAAATAACCTAACAGAGCAATGGACAACAGTAACAAACAGGCAAATCACAGAAGAGAAACCCCAAATACCCAATAAAAATATGAAAACATATTGAACCTTATGAGGAATAAGGGAAATAAAAATCATGATAGACTTGAGATATTGTTTCAAAGGCTGGCAAAAACCTGAAAGCCTGAGAACACCAAGATGGGGAGAAATGGGGAATTCATACTCTATACTGGGAGTGTAAATTAAAATAACCACTTGAGTTGAAGATGCAAGTATGTTACAATTCCACAATTACACTTTTGAATATACAGCCCATGGAAATTCTTGGTCATGTACAAGGAAGACAGGTATTACAACAGCAAAAAAACTTGAAAACTATATGTCTGTCCATCAACAAAATAATGAGTGAACAAACAGCAGTATATTTATACATTAGATTACTGCAGTTAAAATGGACAAGTTAGTGGTACACATATTGGCATGCATATTCTCAAAAACTTAAAACAAATATAGCATTTCCTAAAGTTTGGTATTGGATGGTTTAAAAAAACATTTATATACGTATGTATGTATGTGTGTATACATATCAATAACAGCAGCAACAATAAATGAAAAAAATGAATAATAGAGCTAACATTTGAGCACTTATTATGTAGAAGGCACTCTTCTAAGTATTTGCATGTAGACTCCTAAATACAACCCTAGGAGACAGATTCTACTACTATTTGTATCTAATATGATTACTCTTTTATTACTATTAGATTCTATTACTCATTTTACAGATGAGGAACTGAAGTAGAGAGAGATAAAGTTGATCTAAGGTTATAAAACTAGTAAATAATGAGAGTTAGATATGAAGCCAGTATTCCTAACCCAGACTTTACAGCTTAATAACTATGCTACTGTTATTATACCATTCTCTATTCTCTTTAGGATGTTGGAAATCCAACATTATTTCTGTAAGTTGGAAATAAAAAACACTTTTAACCTATGACTATAAAGAGATGCATACACACACACATTTTTGTGCAACTCAAACTGGTTCTAAAGATGCTAAAAGAATTCTAGGAATGTCTTGAAAACAGCAGCAGCCCAACTACTCTAATTTACTAATTTACATGTTCGAGATTTGGTATGTTTCAGGTCATTATTTCAGAGCCAAACATTATTTGTTCAATAGCCCTAAGACAATATATATTCGGAATCTAGAAACCTTATATTGAGAAGCGCACAATGTAATTCAACCATTCTTTCACTCTCATTAGGGGCAAAATTTGATTACTTAGCTTCAGGTCTGAAACCTCACATTAAGAGTTTTAATAAGTAATTCTGTCAAGAAGTGTAATACAATTTCAATTATTCATTTTTTCTGGTCTTTCAATTATGAGTTGGTTTTTTAAAAAGCCAGTAGCTAATATTTATACAATAAAAATTAATTTTGTATTGGACTATTTATACCACAAAATAAAAAAGGGGGAATTGGTATTCTCAGTCATCAAATATTTATGAGCATTGACTATGTGCTAATCACACACTCCTTGTCTGCAGTACCACTGTTACCATTTCTTAAAAATGTCTTTTCAGGGCTTCCCCGGTGGCACAATGGTTAAGAATCTGCCTGCCAATGCAGGGGACACAGGTTCGATCCCTGGTCCGGGAAGATCCCACATGCCACAGAGCAACTAAGCCCATGCGCCACAACTACTGAGCTTGTGCTGTAGAGCCTATGAGCCACAACTATTGAGCCCATGTGCCACAACTACTGAAGCCTGTGTGTCTAGAGCCCGTGCTCTCCATGACGAGAAGCCACGACAATGAGAACCCCACGCACCACAACGAAGAGTGGCCCCCGCTTGCCGCAACTAGAGAAAGCCCACGCACAGCAATGAAGACCCAACACAGCCAAAAATGAAAACAAATAAATTTATAAAAGTAAAATATGTATTTTAAAAAAAATGTCTTTTCGAACTTCCCTGGTGGTGCAGTGGTTAAGAATCTGCCCGCCAATGCAGGGGACACGGGTTTGAACCCTGGTCCAGGGAGATCCCACATGCCATGAAGCAACTAAGCCTATGCACCACGACTACTGAGCCTGTGGGTCTAGAGCCTGCAAGCCACAAGTACTGAGCCCACGAGCTTAGAGCCCGTGCTCCGCAACAAAAGAAGCCACCGAAATGAGAAGCCTGTGCACCGCAACGAAGAGTAGCCCCTGCTTGCCACAACTAGAGAAAGCGCGCGTGTAGCAACAAAGACCCAACACAGCCAAAAATAAATAAATGAAATAAATAAATGTATTTTTAAAAAGTCTTTACTTCTCAATCTACACATTCACATTCTCAATGCCATAATCTACTAACCTACAGAACGTGCTTTCAAAAAATATGAAAAAGAAGTTCTTGCTTTCAAAGAGTTCACTGTCTAGTAGGGAAAAGAGACAAGTAAATGAAAGTTATCTATAATGCATAAGTACTTTAATAAAGGTATTTAAAAGGTATTAGAGAAACATAAGGGTTGGGGGAGATGAAAGGGTGGCTGGTGCACTTTGAGAACAGGGAAGCTGGAGCACAACGAACATGAGACACCAAGTGGAGGCAATTCTTTCAAGAAAACTTGTCTTAAAAGAAAGAAGAGAGGGTAATAGCTAGGAGCATAGGTTCTACAGAGGTTTTAAGATGAGAGAGATAAATACTTAGCATCAATCCCTCTAAACTGCTTTCCTTGTTCCACTCCTCTCCTAGAACTAAATTCAAGCGGAATGTGAACAAGTCACTTAGTAATTCTAAGCCTCAAATGAGACAGATGTTTAAGAACTCTAAATTATAGAGGGAACCTGAATAAATGATCTCTAAAGTCCCCTCTAGATCTAAAATTTTATGATTCTATGATTATTTGATCTCTTTAAACTCAAAGGTAAAACACTTCAGTATGCAAAAAAGAAAAACCAAGACTATTTAAGAGATGAACTTGTTTGTACAACTGTGTCCTATTTTTTTTTTTTTGCAAAACTGTTAAAACAATCCTTATTCTGAATATCAGTAAAATTTCCACAGAAAGACACTGCCTTTTAATCAACAACTTCCCCTCAAACCTGCAGACTTCTAAATAATCAACAAGCAACTATTTTGCAATAACAGAAGGAAAGTGCTTAAAAGCCCACAGCTTGGACTTGTAAAAGTAAAATGTTTATAGAAACAGGTGTATGACATTCTTACAACAATAAATTTGTTCATTATCTTCACTTTAAAATTTTAATGTACAGGTCATTCATGAAGAGTTAAAAAAAAACAAAATAACAACAACAAAAAAACAATCAGCTAAGATTAGCTCTTTTCACTGTCACATATTCTGAAATTTAGAACAAGGTTTCCCTTACCTGATATGGACATGGAATGTGATATTCTCTGCAGCGTTCTTGTATCCATGTTGTTTCCCAGATGCCACGGTAAGCTTGCTCATAAAAGTAGCATCCAATTACAACCAAGAGTGGTACAAGATAAAGAATGCTGAAAACACCAATCCGGATCATAAACTTCACCAGTTTATCTTGGTTCTCCTTTTCTAATGGAATCTCAATTCGAACTCTGTTTAGGGATATGATGCCGGCTAAGAGAAGTGAAACCCCAACTACCACATACAGGCAGAGGGGTGCAAGAACAAAATACCTCAATGAATCAACATCGTAGAGGCCAACAAAACACACGCCACTGATATTGTCACCTTCAATTTTATTCATCGCTAAAAGGATGATAGTTAGAGTTCCAGGGATGCCCCACGCGCTGGCGTGAAATAGCAATGCCTTCTTCTCAATAGCTTCACTACCCCACTTTGGCACAGCTGCCAAGAACCACGTGATGGTAAGAATTACCCACCAAACGCTGCCAGCCATAGTAAAAAAATAGAGTACCATAAAAAGCATGGTACAGGCTTTATTATGAGATCCTTGTGTCACTGTGGAAGCCTTATACTGTGCAGGGCTAGATGCATTGCAGGCTACTCGGTCCTCAAGCAAAAACCCAATAAAGAAAATTAACGATACCATCATGTAGCAGACTGCATAAAATATAATAGGTCTTTCAGGATAACGGAATCTTGTGACATCAATCAAAAAAGTTAAAAAAGTAAATAATGTGGCAGAGAGGCAAATGATTGAAATCAATCCTATGAAATATCGAGCAAATGAAAGTTCTTCTCTCCTAAAGTACATATTTGGACAAGGAGGTGAACAATCACGCACGTGCAAAAAAGAATAGCCAAGATCAGGATCAATTTTCAACTCTCGGGGACACCAAAAACCATAGTCCCTCTGCACTGCCAGTGGGGCTCCTTCAGTAGGATCTCCAGCTAAATTCAGATCCACAAGTCGAGGATACGGCTCATCACAATCTGGGAACCTAAAAATACAAGACGAGAACCATTTTTACTTATTGGGAACCTAATGATTTGGATTTCCAAATTTAGCACCTGTGGGTTATTCTTATGTCCTTGGAACACATTACAATTAAGTGGAAGAAATAATGCAAATGGTCATATTTTGTTTATGGGTCATAAAACTAGATTTTCCACAGCTGACAAAAAAATGAAAAATTTATATTTAATTTTGTTTTGGCTTCAAAAAGATTACTCTTTATTAAAGTAGTCAGGCATAGCCATCAATAAATAGTGTATTTACATACTATTTATTTAGGACACACAGTTTAGAGTAAGATTTCAAAATATAAATGAAAAAAATATATATATATATAATATACATTTTAAAAAAAAGCTCCAACAGAATAGTAGCTAAAAGTTACTTCTTTCTAAAGTTTAATTACAATATAGTCCTCAATTTACCCTAGACTCAAACAGAACTTTCTTAAAAATAAGAGTTAAAAATCTTCCCTAATTGCATGGCCCAAAGTGTTTTGAGTTAGATTAGCACTAAAAATCCTTACAAGTGGCTTAGTTTTAGATCTTTTCTTCCCATTTAAAATTCACTCTCTGCTTACCATATTGGTTAATTAAAGTCCTCCTAAGGTCTCTAATGTCAACTAGTTCTTTCCTACCACTACTAATGTCTCTCCAATCCACTGCATTCTCTATTCCAGTTATTCTCAAACACTGACGTGCATGAGAAAAACTTAAGGTCATTTTAAAATACAAATTCTTGGTCCTCATCACCTCAAATCCTATTTCAGTATGCCTGTGTTAGGGCCAAAGAAATCTGCATTTTGACAATTTTCCAGACTTGAGAAAGCGTCATAACCATAGTACAGAAAAAACAGGGCTGTGCTGCAGACATACACTATTGAGAGTACTATTCTCATGAACTTCCTGCATCTTCAATTTTCTTGCCAGCATCAGTTTCTAAGCCTTCAGACTCCCACCAACTAGATATTTAGCAGTTATATGCATCAAATAGTTTCCAAGAAACTATCACTGATATTAAGTCTGCCATATATATGTATAACCTTACACTGAAGCTGATTAATCTTTTATTTTCTAATACAAACCATTTTCTTCACGGGGCTTGGATTATAAAGCCAAATGACAGAAACTTATTGCATGCAGGCATTTACTGGAATTCTATAGTATGCCAGGGCTTTAACAGAAAAAGACCCCAAAACCCAGGATCTCTATCCTTGAGTCCAAAAGGAGGCAAAAACTTGTAAACATAACACAAAATACAGCAGTGTGATATATGAAGCAATCAAAACCTATATAAAATATAAAAATGATATAAAGAAGGATTAATTATTTCAGGGGAAGAGGTTATGAAAGACTTCACAGAGTAAGACCCTCAACACAGGATCTCTGAATCAGTATTTGCCGGTATTGGCAGTATGGCAATCAGTATTGTAGCAAGAAATGGGAACAAAGGCACGGAGGTTTGAACAGGGTGTGTTTAGCATTGCTGGGGCATGAGGAGTGCATGAATTGTGACAGGAGATAAGGTTTGGAGAGGTAAGCACATTCCAGAAATATATGTGCATGTGTGTGTATGTATGTATGTATAAACATTGATATAAATATATCAATGGCTGTATCTGTATATCCAACTGCCAATTCACCATATACACACCCCTCACTCTTTAACCCTCCCAAAACCAAACTCTTCATTTCCACTCCTTAGTTTCTCCATTTCCACAAATGGTAATCCCATTCTTCTAGTCGCTCAGGCCAAAAACCTTACGGTCCTCCTTGAAATCCCTTCTCCCTCATATCCACCTCACAACCTACCAGCACTTCCTGTCATTCTACTTTGCGATATATCCAGAATCTGACCACTTTCCATTTCCTCTACTGTGGCCACCCAGTCTGAGCCATTAGTACCTCATCCCTGGACTTCTGGAGTGGCTTCCAGTTTATCTCCAACTCCACACAAGAGCCAGAGTGATCCTTTAAAGACATGTCACTCCTGTGTTCATGATCAAGTCTCTTCTGCTCAAAATTCTAATGGCTTCCCTTCTCACTCAGTCAAATCCAAATTCCGTAAGAGAGCTCTAAAGACCCACTCCCAGTCCTTTTCTGATCTTATTTCCTTCCCTTCTCCCTTACTCACTTGGCTCCAGCCTCTTTGGTGTCCTGTGAATATACCAGCACGCTTCCACTTCAGAGCCTTTGCACTTGTTGCTCTGCTTCTTCTGCCTGGACTGTTCTTCCCTAGATATCTATATAACCTGTTCTCTCATTTCATTCAGATTCCTGTCTCACTGCCTCCTTATTAAAAAGGACTTCCTCAACATCTCCATAGAAAATATAGTCCTTCTGCTTCCCCATATTGTATCACTATCACCTAACTCTATTCTTTCTTACTAACATTCATGACCATCTGACATTATCTATTTATTTATCTCCTACTACTACCACCACAACTAGAATTTTATCTCCATAAGAACAGAGACTACGTTTTGTTCACTACTCACCTTCACTATCTAGAATAGTGTCTAGCACACAGAAGACATCCAATTAATATCTGCTGAATTGATGATAAATTGAATAAATTTACCATATAGCCCTCATATAGTTGAATAAATATATTCGTATAGCCCTCACCAAGTAATTAGAAAGATGACTAGAAGGAGTGTGGAAGACACTTGAGCTGGGCAAAAATGAGAGCAGAGATATCAGTTGAGCCATAACTAAAACCAGATAAGGCAGTGAGAATGAGACAGCTATGAAATTATTAAGATAAAAGCAACAGAATTTATAACTGATTGGATGTGGGAGCTTAGGTCAATGAAGGAGGACTATGCCTTCCAGGAATAAAAAAAAAGCAATTTAGACATGTTAAAACTGAGGTATTTGAGACAAATTCAGGTTACCAGTGGCTGCTGGATATGCAGATTTGGAACTTAGCAGAAAGATGCCAAGGCTACAGATTTAGATTTAGGATCCATCAGCATATGAATAAGAATTAAAATCAATGAGATGGGATTATCCAGGGAAAGCATGCAGAATCAAAAAAAAAAAAAACAGGAACAGAACTCTAAGAAACACCAGAAAGAGGAAGAGGATGCAAGAAAAGAAATTGAAAAGGGCTGGTCTGAGATGTAGCAGACCACAACAGTTCACGCAAAATGGCCTAACGGATTTTCAGGAAAGGAGGACAGGCTAAGGTTGAGGGGAATAAGGGTCAAATACAGAATAAAGGTGAAATATGGGTTTGAAATGAGTGACACAGATTTGGCATAAGTGCTGAGGAAAATGAACAGAAATTTTCCTGTTGACCAAATTGGAAACTGACCAAAGACAAAGAGCAAATAGAGTTGCTATGGTTTAAAGTGTCTATCAACAGGAGAATGGATAAGCAAAATACAGTATATTTATACAATGGAAGACTACTCAGCAAGAAAAAGCACTACTGATGAACACAAGAACATATTAATGAGTCTTGAAAATAGAGCAAAGAAGGGCAATCTCAACCTGAGCAAAAGAAGAGTTACACAACAAGCACATATTCTATGACTCCATTTGTATGAAGTTCTAGAATAGACAAGTACTTATTGATACTCTGGAAGGATGTTAAACAGTAGTTCCTTCCAGAGGATGGTATAGACAAGGATTGACCATCAAGGAGCATGAGAGCATGAGGTAATGGTAATGATGATGTTCTACATCTTTCTGAGGATTTGGCTTACTCAGGTGCAGGCACTTGTCAAAACTCAGATATCTTTAGATTTGTGCATTTCCTTGTAAAGTTTTAAACTGAAAGAAAAAACTGCAGACAAATGTTGAATTCTAGTTAGTGAAAGATCTGATAAAATATTTGTGAGGGCAATAACTGTTGTCTCTAATTTACTTTGAAATACAAAGAATAAGGTAGATTAATGGATCAATAGAGGGATGGACAAATGTGAAAAGCAAACATAATAAAACAATGGTAGAAATCTGGGTGGTAGTTAAAAAAAAAGTTGCTATGGTTTAAATCATTAAATATGCAGCATAATTAATTTATAAGAAATTAGTTGAGCTGGAGATCTGAACAAGTACAGTGGAAGGAATGAGTTGAAACTGCTAGCAAAAGTATTACTTTATGTGACGGACCACAAAGCTTAACCTAAGTAAGAAAATAAATAAGATCAAAAAGGGAGCTATAAGTGGGGGGGGAATCCAAAAGTCTAGGGGTGTCCATGAAGTTGAAAAACAGGTACAGTAGGAACAAGGATATGAGAGATGTGGAAGAATGAAATGTTATTATGAAAGATTTGTTTGCCAGAATTTAAGATTTAAGAGTTAGACAATCCCAGGCAATACTGAGGACATAAAACAGATTTAACCCTATCAAAACAAATATAGATAGATCATAATGACACTTCTATACTTATTATTGTACCTATTAAAATAAAAAGACCACTAAACAATAGGAGTTAGATACAAAAAACATAAAATAGGGTTCCTGCCCAGGTAATTCATAACTGCTGTTATAAATAACAAGAAGTTTACAAACTTCTGAAAGCAGGACTATAAATATTACCAGGTTTTGGGGAGAAAGTGGATGAAGGGTTTGATGGGGCTAGATAAGAGAGTATGTTAAATAGGTGGGAAATAGAGCAGACAAATATGAGAAAGCAAAATGCCAGTGAACTGACTACAAGTAACTAATACATGTTTTATTAAGTTCTTTCATCTGTCGAATGAGAGTAACAACACCTGCCTTTCACCTGTCTCCAAGGGCTACTGTCATATGATAAACAAATTAATTTTAAACATGAAGGAGAAAAAAATGTTCTGTGCAGCGCTGCCCATAATAGCAGAAACCTGGAAGTAACTTAAATGACCATCAGTAGGAGATGGCTAAATAACTATAGGATGGTAATACAATTGGCCATTATATAGCAATTAAGAGGAATGAACCAGAGTTACAGATATAAACACAGATACATGTAAAAAAAATTTAATGTTTATGGATATGTATATATGTAGTAAGAGTATAAAAACAAGATAGGAATGATTAACAACAAATTCAATATAATGATTATCTCATCTCTGGGGAGAAAAGAAGGAAATGAAATCAAGATGGGTACTAAGAAAGGAAACTTCAACTCTATCTGTATTGTTTTATTTCTTAAAAAAAGAAATCTGGGGACTTCCCTGGCAGTCCAGTGGTTAGGACTCGGTGGTCTCACTGACAGGGCCCTGGGTTCAATCCCTGGTCGGGGATCTAAGATCCCAAAAGTCATGTGGCGCAGCCAAAAAAAAAAAAAAAAGAAAGAAAATCTGAAGCAAACATTGCAAAATAGTAAGATTGGACAAAGCTAGGTAATAAGAGTTATGTAAGTGTTCATCTTATTCTTTATCCTTGAAACTTTAAGAATACAAAAGGCACAACATTATTATACAAGAAATACAGTACTACTACTGTATATGTTATTACTAATAATAATGTTCTCTCGTACAAATCTATAACACTGTCTGGTAAATATCCTCAAACCTTTAGGAAAATGCTTACAATCTATATATTTGAAGTGATTTGAAAAGTATCTGACATTTTCTGGGTCTGGGTATATTAATACATGACAAAAACGGAACTGACAGGACTACTGTAGTCATTAACACATTTAAATCATAAAGATATTTGAGTCCCATTAAAATCATTAAACATATTTAATAATGAGGTAACAAATGATTATGTTCTCTATATTTTCTAATTTTTTAATAAATGGCATTACTTTTATAACCAGAAAAAATCTGTGAGAGAAATCAACAATCAATATCTTGATTATGTTTTTCTTAATTTGATTATTTAAAAAATTTCGTCATAGAACGTTTTTCTTTTCCCACCTTTTTCATTTAGTGCTTCCAAATTCCTAAGGAAATGAACAGCTCTGAGGCCACGAAACTGCTGTTCACAATTATGACTAATATACACACTTCAAAAAAGTTCTTTAAAAACTGATGAACTAGAAGACAAATAATTTTAAATATACTGCAACATAAGTAATGGTCCATGAAAATCTATGATTTTCGCACCTACTGCATTCCATATCTTCAGGCCAAGGAACACCAAACATCTCCATGAGCTTCGAACACTCACTGTAAGCCCGCTGACAAAGCCTACGGCAGGGAAGTGTGACACGTCCGTATTCCATACAAATAGGAGCGTAGAGTGCACAAAGAAATGGCCGGAAATCCCGAGAACAATCCAAATTCACCATAGGGTGGAATGGCTAGGAGAAAGTTAAAATCAAATCATTAGATAAAGAGTTGCATACAAGTTAAAGTTTTCTACATATAATACGGCAATATTCTTTTTTTTAAAATCTATTTTAAAAGATTTCTGAAGGCAATTAAAATTTTCTAAAGGGAAGTTTTTGTTTTTTCAACAAAACCCTCTTAGCCCTATCCCTGGAGATTCTGATTTGGTTAAGTATGAGGTGTATCCCAGAATCTATACATATTTTAATTGTTACAGGTGATATTAATGAAAAGGCCTGGCTGAGAACCATTAACAACAATATGATCCATTTTACATAGAAAAAATCCACGAAAGATATGTGTCAAACGCTCAGAAGTGTGATTAGTGCTTGGTGATAGGATTACAAGAGATTTAACTTTTCTTCTTTTTATGTATTTCAATTTCTATATTTTCTTCAATTAACGTGTATCAATAGGAGAGAGAGGACAAGAAGTGAAAGGAAAGGGTGGGGGAGGAAGAGAAGTAGTTATACACAGTAGTACATATTTTGAGGGTGGGAGGTAGGTAAGAGATCTCACTTTGGTCTTACATTTTCTTTTTCTTTGTACATTAAAAAAATTCTTTTTAAAAAACGGGAGTTCTTTCAACTCTGAAATCACATGATATAAACAGAGCTCACAATGTTAAGCTGATATTAAGGAAACAAAAAGAAAAAACAGTGGCCCCAAACATAAAGCCATACTAAAATCATCATTATAACCATAGGACTAGATCAATTTTCCCAAGAAATGTGCATCTAGGCTTTTGACTACCAAATATCTTTTCCACTTGTTTATATAACAGTTTCAGAGTCACTGCTGATTTTGAACTGATAACAGATGTTCTCACCACCAGGCCTTTCCATTAAGACTCAATCAACTTATTTCTACATCGATATAAAACATTTTCCAGAGTCCTTCTATACACAACACAGTCAGAAAACCACGTCTCTTAAAGAAACTGGTGTCAAAGAAGTTAACTATAATGGATATGATAACTGATATATAACAATAAACTATATGTGACTATCACTTCCAAGTATGAAGAGGTAATTTGTGTTAAATCAATGTTTCCATCAAGAACAACTTCAAAATACAGGAAAGAAAGTTTTAAAAATACCTATTTAAAGCTATTAGAAAAGTAGTGAAGGAAAAGAACTAGACAGACCAAGAATCTAGAGAGCTTGGAAGCATGGAGTGGTGGCCTGATAAGTGCAGCCACTTTTCCAAGGAGGTATCTGTTGAATCTGGGTATAAGGCAAGAAGCTGAGAATCAAGCCTAGGCTGGTGCTAGAGAACCAAGAAACCAGCAGAGCTCTGGTAGTCTTGCAAGACTAGAAACAATACATATATATGTATAACTGAATCACTTTGCTATACACTTGAAACTAACAAACATTGTTAATCAACTATGCTCCAATTAAAAAAAAAAAAGACTACAGACAAAATTAGAAACAAAAGGAACAAATGGGTGAAAAGGGGAAGTACCTAGAATTGGGCCTGACAAAGAGCCAGTTTTCCCTTCAAGATATTTGAAAATTCTGAAGCTACACAGGGAAGGAGGCTAGGAAGCTAAGAAGAAAGCCTCTGAAAAGCAGAGTGGAGATTTTGGAAGTTTTATCAGTATGAGGAAACATGAATTAGAGGTTCAAGTCTTGCCAGGGGAAGTGGGAAATGAACATACCACACTCTCAGCTGGAAGCCCCTGAGTGACTACACTTCAGTAGCAGGGGCAAATGACAGGGAGGCAGAGACCTATGAAAAATGAAACCCAGCCTCAACTCAGCTCGGTCCCTCACTGAATTAAGGTGATCAGCCCCATTTATCTGCTAAGCAGAAGAAAGGGTGAGCTTTCTCTGGAGTAGTAATATAACATCATGTAGAACCTCACCAATATATTGTAATGTCTACTACTCAATAAAAAATACTAGGCATTCCAAGAGACAGGACCATATGACTGAAAAACAAAAGAAAAAATTACAGTGTTTTGGTAATCCCAGCTATTGAACTTAGTAGACAAGACTGTATATAAGAAATATGTTCAAGAAAATAAAAGATGAAGAATTCCAGAAAATTGGAATCTATCATAAGAGGAACCAAAGAGAAATTCTATAAGTGAAATACATAAATGCTGAAATTAAGAACTTATTAGATATGTCAGAAGATAGAACTGGCAGAATGGAAAACAAGGCAATAGGAAATATCCAAACAGAAGCACACAGATCAAAAAATACTGAAAAATACAGAAAAGAGCATAACAGACATGTAAAACACATGAAAAAAATATAAAATATGCATAACTGAAACCTCAAAAGAGGAAAGAGGGAATGAGCAGAGGCAATATATAAAAAGATGATGGCAGGCTTCCCTGGTGGCGCAGTGGTTGAGAGTCCGCCTGCCGATGCAGGGGACACGGGTTCGTGCCCCAGTCTGGGAAGATCCCACATGCTGCAGAGCAGCTGGGCCCGTGAGCCATGGCCGCTGAGCCTGTGCGTCCGGAGCCTGTGCTCCACAACGGGAGAGGCCACAACAGTGAGAGGCCCGCATACCACAAAAAAAAAAAAAAAAAAAAAAAAAAAAAAATGATGGCCAAGGATTTGTCAAAACTGATTAAAGACAACAACCCACAGATTCAAAAAGTTCTGCAAATCCCCAGAAAAATAAATATAATAAAAAAAAACACACCTAAGCATATCTCATTTAAATTGCTGAAAACCAAAGAAAAACACCTTAAAAGCAGCCAGTGGAAAAAAAGACACCTTACCTTCAACAGAACAACTGTTGTTGGACTTTCGAATACTATAAAACAACAGAATGACTACTTAAAGAGCTGAGAGAAAACAACTGCTCACCATAACTCTATGGCCAGCAAAAATACCCTTTATAAGTGAAGGCAAAGTAAAGACATTTTCAGACAGACAAAAAACTGAGAAAACTAGTCACTAGCAAACCTGCACTAGAAGACAAAAGAAAAATAATCTAAGATGAAAATTCAAAAGGAATTAAAAGCAACAAAAGAGGTGAATATGTGGGAAAATACAAATATTCTCTGTATAAACAAAAAATAATGGGGGCTTCCCTGGTGGCACAGTGGTTAAGAATCTGCCTGCCAATGTAGGGGACATGGGTTCGAGCCCTGGTCCAGGAAGATCCTACATGCCATGGAGCAACAAAGCCCATGCGCCACAACTGCTGAGCCTGCGCTCTAGAGTCTGCAAGCCACAACTACTGAAGCCTGTGAGCCTAGAGACCGTGCTCTGCAACAAGAGAAGCCACTGCAATGAGAAGCCCGCGCACTGCAATGAGAAGCCCGTGCACCGCAACGAAGAATGGTCCCTGCTCACTGTAACTAGAAAAAGCCCGCGTGCAGCAACAAAGACCCAATGCAGCCAAAAATAAATAAATAAATAAATAAATAAAGTGGGAAAAAAAACCTATGCAGAGACAAAAATATGAAAAGTTTAAAAAACAAACGAACGAAAATAATGTCTTAAAATACATACAAAATACATGTAAATTAATATGTGTAATAATAAAATGATAAAGATGGGGGTCAGAGGAACACTAATGGGAGAGTGATCAAAGTTATTATTTTTACTAGAATATTATAAGTCAAGGGTACATATAATTTCTAGGGTAAGCAATAAAAGAATACACAACTAACAAGGTAATAAAGAGAGAAATAGAACAATACAAAAGAAGTCAAGACAGCAGAGAAAAAAGAATACAAAACAGTTTGGAAAAAATTGAAATCAAGTAATAAGATAGTAGATATTAACCCAAGTACATCACTAATTGCATTATATATAAATGGCCTAAAGACTATGTAAAAGAGTAAAGTTGCTGGACTAGGTACAAATCAAAACAAAACAAAACAAAAAAACCCTATACCATTTACAAAGACACGTTTTTCAATATAAGAACAGAGATAGGTTAAAACTAAAAAGACGGCAAACAATAAGCAATGAAAGAAGCAACCAAAAACAAGACTACACTTTATGACAAGGAGTGTTCCCAGAGATAAAGAAGGTCATTTCTTAAAGACAAAATAAAAGAATCAATTCACCACGACTAAAAAGTAAATCTAAACATATATGTACCACTTAACACAGCTTTAAATTATTTTAATAAAAAACAGAAGTAAAATGGGACATACACAAATCCACAATCAGAGTGATTTGATACACTTCTCTCAATAAGAAGAGTGAGACAAAAATTCTATGAGAATACAGAAAATCTAAACAAGTCAATTACAAACTTGACCTAAACAATATATGTATAATCATGGCACCCAACAATGAGTGGAACCTATTTAACATACACATGGAATCTTTACCAAAACTGGCCATATTGTAAGTCCTAAAATAAGCCACAAAAAACTTCTTAGTACTAAAACCAGACTGTTCTATGACTAAAATGGAATTAAGGTAGATATCAATTACAAAAAGAACCCTAGAAAATACCCAACTGTTTGGCTGTTTGGAAATTAGACAAAAAACTTCTAAATAACCCATAATCAACAAAGGAAATCATAACTGAAATTTAAATTGTATATAATTATATATTATATGTATTACATTTTAATGTTTATGTATAATCTACATTTAGAATTAAGTAGTAAAGACAATAAATAAAATGTCAGCAAAAGCTATACTCAGAGGAAATTTATAACCTGATATGCGTATGTCAGAAAATAAGAAAGCCTGAAAAACAATCAATGGTAAGCTCCATCTCAAGAAGCTGGAAAAAGAATGGCCAATCAAACCTAGAGAAAGTAGAAAAAAGGCAATAATTAGTAAAAGAGGAAAAAACCCACAAATTACCAATATCAGGAATGAAGGACAGAAAATTACTGGAAATATAATGAGGATACTATAAATAATAAATTCGACATGTTAGGATGAAGTGAACTAATTCCTTGGAAAAAGATCACAATTTACCAAAAATAATAAAAGAAGAAATATAAAATCTAGTTTTCTATCCACATTTATGA